CTCTCTACGACTCTCTCTCCCTCTTTCTCTGTAGCTCTAGGGATCCCTTACTCTCTATCTCTCTCTGCCCATCTCTTGAGATATCAATTTCTCTATAGCGCTCTCGCTCTCTCACTCTTTTCTCTCGCTCTCTTGCCTTTACTCGGAAAGTATAAATACAGCCACTGCAGTCGCACTCGCCTCATTCTGTCCACGGCCTCCCTCCTGTTTACATCGATGGTGATAGTGATAGTGATAGTGATTGCCAAAAATATGACGTGGCCAATGCAATTACATGTGTATAACCAGGAAGAAGGTAACTTCTATGATACCTTGAAAAGCCTATTTGAAGTCACCAAGAATATAACTCTACACTGAAAGGAATTAAGCAATGTCGAAAAAGCATATCCTCAACTGCGGTAAGTCTTAACCAAAACAATTATACCATGTATATAGATGCTATAGAAGGGATCTAACCAAGATCTAGAATCAGCTTTGCCAGCTATGCACCCTTGCACGAAGATACCCTTACAGGGTATTATAATTTCAGTCAGAAGCATGAAACGTAGTAAAGGAGTCATTTCCGACCCTATAAACCATATATATTCGTGATCAGCATGAAAATCTGAATCGATTTAGCTATCTCCGACAAAGATTTAATATTTTCAGAAATTTCACATTTTATAAGGGTTAAAATTTGGAAAATTGAATATTGAAAAATTGATAAAAATTAGAATTTCAAAAAATTCTTAATTGAGTATGCAGATTTGTTAATACAATTAAAACTAACACAGAACAGCTGTCCGAATTGAAATTAATACATTTTTGGCTAAGCTATGAGTTTTTTAAACATTGATTTGTTGAATAAATTGGCATATAAAAATGGCTCAAATAATGGTATTAAAATTTTAATCAGGAGCTTAAAAAATATGGAAGGAGTCATTTCCAACCCTATAAACCATATATATTCGTGATCAGCATAAAAAGCTAAATCGATCTAGATATGTTTGACAACAATTTAATTTTTTTAGAAATTTCACATTTTTATAAGGGTTAAAATTATGAAAAGGGAATTTTTAAAAATTGCTAAAAACTTGAATTTCATAAAATTCTAAATTGAGTATGCAGATTTATAACCCTAATAAAAACTAACATGGAAAAGCTTCCCGAATTAAAATTACTCCATTTTTGGCTTAGTTATGACATTTGAAATACTTTAATTTACCCAAAAAATGAGCTTATAAAAATACCGATTTATAATATATACATTTTATTTTTTATTCATTCAGCATAAGGTTATCTATTTCAAAAGTAACTTGGTTTATGGTTTTCTTATATTTTTTCTTATTTAAATGAAGATTAACCTTATTTAAACTTTAATTTGCCTTTTTGTATTTAGATATTAGTTTTCTGATAATAAAGTATTTGTTTTCTCATATCTAATATTATATTTGACTCAAATTGAAGTTGAAATAATTTGAATCATTGTTTCTTTTGTGAAATTTCTGTAATAACACAATATTTGAGCAGTGGAGATGGGTGGAGTTCGTGTTCCGGCTGCTTTGCTCCGTTGCGCTTCAGTTTCAGCTCGAGGGATCGGGTTCTGTGGGCTTATTCAATTTTGCAATCGCCGGCTCTGGAAACCCCAGTCGTTACCCCTCTGCCTCCTGCTGGCTGTGTGCCTCCGGCCATGTCCTGGCCTGTCTTCCCAATTGACTGCCGCGCCACTTCCGTTTCGTTGACGATGGCGATGCCGATGCGATGGCGATGGCGATGGCAACACCAAAGTCAGCCAAGCGTTTGCCTGCTGAATGCACAGCAGCAGCAACATCAGCAACATCAGCAGCAGCAGCAGCAGCAGCAACATCAGCAGCAGCAGCAGCAGCAACACCAACATTGTCGACGCTGTGCTCCTGCAAATGCAATAAATTTTCAAGTCATTTCAACTTCCGGTGTGTGGCCCCGATTACAGTTTAGTAGCTGTAAATATAAAGCGATATATACACAGCCCATGCACAGGCAGAAATATATGCCAATATATCTCAAGGGATTTATATAGATATTCAAGATTTCAAAGTTTTTCAATCTAAAAATCTATGTTTTTCTCTAGAATATATATATTATTTATTATATTTATTATTAGTATATTATAATTATTTATATCTTTAGCATATTCCACAGTGTAATATATCCCAGACATGAAATATATAAAATATACAAGTATATGTTGCCGTTGGCAACTTTGGTCTGGCTCTTTTAAAGTCCAGACTTCCTTTCGCCCTCTCTCTCTCTCTCTCTCTCTCTCTCTCTCTCTCTCTCTCTCTCTCTCTCTCTCTCTCTCTCTCGCTCTGGCACTGATTTGTTTCATTTAAATGCCAGTTTTTTTAATTTTATTCTACGCTTTCCCTCCCTTTGCGATGGCCTCAAGTGTAATTACAGTTCAATTTTCCAAGTGAGGGTGGAAAATTATTAGAAGACAACCGCCAGCTGACATTTGTGAAGTTTTTCTCGCTATTTGCCTTGTCATTGTCATACAGCCATTGTTGTTCTTGTTGTTTTCCCATTATTACAAATGTGGAGTAAGTGAGTGTACAGTTGTGCTCAAAAAATAGGATTAGGCACCTTAAAAATAGTTACAGATATGAAGAGAACTTTTTGAAAACTAGCAACTAAAGCAATTTTATAAGGACATTACCAAGAGCTTTGCATTTACTTTTGGAATTTGTATTTCTTAAGTTCTTACTCAAGTATTTTCTTTAAATTAGGGAGTAAAAAAACCTAGTAAAAGAAATTTAAAAACCTTAAAAATAACCTCTGTATCAATATTCCTTGCCAAACTTGGCTTATCTTTTGGAATAAGCAAAGAAAACTCCTATTTTCCCGTATCCTGCTATTTCATATGTGCTTCTCCCTTCTCATTCTGCCGTCTCTTTCTCTGTCTCTGTCTCTGTCTCCGTCTCTGTCTCCGTCTCTGTCTCATCCTGTAACTGTCACATTGCTGGCACTTCATCATCATCAACAACAGCAGCAGTCAACGCTTCTCGCCTTCTCTCTCGCCCGCGCTCTCTCTCTCTCTCTCTCTCCTTTTCTCAGGACATTCTCACAGCTGGTGATTAGCGGCAGGGAAAATGCGGTGCGGGGCTCTCAGAGGCAGAGGCAGAGGCAGAGTCTGGAGGGTGGGTCGGGAAAATGCTAAGGAAACTCCCACGATAACGTCACTGGGGGCGATGGCAAATGATTGCCACTTGAGGTGTAAACGAGCGCATTTTACAGCGTCTTTCAGATGCTAAAAAAAGGTAAGAGGGAAAAATGAAGTGTGCAAAAAATAAGTAAGGCAAGAAGATGGGGAATGGAGAATGGGGAAAGGAAACTCCCGTGGAAAAGCGGTAAAAGTCTAGCTGAAATCACGGCGAGACAGCAGCGCGTCGATGCCTCCCCAGAAAACGCTATCAAAATGTGCATAAAGCTTAAGTTGCAAATCGATTGACATTAAGCATTATTCCCAGATATATATGTTTCCTGGCAACATATTCGCTATATAACTATAGGCTATATAAGTACATATAAAGCATAATCTTTCAAACAAAGATAATGGGATTTTGCATTAAGAAGACAGGAATATGTGATTGAAAAAATCGAAGAATATATAAAACAAATTAATTTAAGTGGTCTTTATGGGTATTTTCTATGGAAATTTGAACCATTTGTAATAGATATGGGAATGAAAAAATCGAAAAATATATAAATCATATTAATTTAAGGTATTTCCTATGGCAAAATTTTAAAAAGCAGATAAAGTTGTAAAATAAAATACATAATAATTAATATATGTATTCAATTTAAACCTTTTTACCCTTTTTAATGTTCTTATTAAAAGTATAAATGAAGAAATGCAAACATATACATATTATTTATATTTAATAACATAATTAATTTATTTTCCAACAACTGTAACAATATTTCCAAGTATTTTTCAAGAGAAATAACTTATACACATATCTTTCTAAACAGCAAAATGAGTAAAGTCACACAAGTAAAGTTAGAAAATGTAACAAAGACGAGTTTCTGGAAACCTTTAGGTTCTTTATCTGCTGTTTTTCCTGCAGTTTTGCAGACCCTCAACAAATTCGCATCATTTTTCGTAGCCAAAAAGAGGAAGTTTACATGTCGCGCGCTCTCGATGACAGGAAGGGACATGACATACTGAATGGCCGCCAAACCGAGCCCGTATTGTTCGAAATGTCCATAATATCCCGAAATCATATTCGAATAGCCACAAGCGGGCAGGGTCACAAAAGGACTGACATTTTCCAGCCAAAAACGGCAGCCTTTTCGCATTACCCAACCGACCGTCACTGTAAGGGGTCATTAGGCAATGCCAGTGGGGGAAATCCATCGGCCAGCGGATGCTTTTCGCGACTCTCCTTTTATTCTACTTAGTTGCAGCGATTTTCATAACGATCCTCCACAAAATAACGTTTATAATTCGATTTTAATGGGTCAACTCGAAAGCATGGTAAACACAACGCATTTTACATTCGTCCTATGCACATGCACCATGTGTGTGTCTGTGTGTGTGTGTGTGGGTGTGTTTGCATGTATATCGAGTGTTTTGGGTGCCTCAATTTCGTAAAACTTCGTATTCGGCTCGTGTTTCCGTTTTCCTTTGGCGGAAAACCCACAGAAAGTGTTGAAAACACTCGAAGATTCAAAATATTTTTCGATGGTTTGCAACTCAGCTGAAACTCTCCAAAAAGGTGGGAAAGTGGAGAAACTGGCTAAAGGTGGAAAAGTGGTTTGTTTTGTGAAAATTATATCACTAAAACAGCAAAGTTCTTCCCAATAAACGAAATAAAAGAAAACTGGCTAAGGTCCAGTAAAAATGCTAAATTTGTATATAATTTGTAAGTTTTAATTAATTAATTATAAAAATATTGTTCCTTCATTATTTTTGTGTAACCTGTGATTTGTGGTATTTTACGTGCTTCCGCGAGCTGGCCACACTGACTTGTCATATTTTGCCGGTTCTGGTGTTTTTGCTTTGTCAAAAACGAAAAAACATTCATAAAAATCTACGCTGAAGTTGTGCAAATCTTAATTAAACGGTAGGTAATTGTGCAATGTCTCTGTTTCCCGCCTATGGCGGTGGAAAGCCGCCCAAAGTCACGGCTAGACAGGAAGAAACAGAGAAATCTGGAACGAGCGCCGACTGGAAGGCAAATAAGAGTTATGAAAAGGAGAGTGCAAACATTGGAAAGAAAATCGCACAACAGTCCCACATCAGTGATGAGTCCTCCTCCTCCTCTTCTTCTTCTGGCGAAGAAGAGGCTCCACCGCCAGCAAAGAAGGCTGTGCCGCAAAAACTCCTGGAATTTGATGCCGCAACCGATGGCTTCTACGTGGACAAGCAAAGCAACGAAAGCCTGCGAACGTTGGACACTCTGGCCGAACCCAACCGCCCGCGCTACAAGTGCCGGTTGCGTCGCCCCCAGGAAGTCAAACACGCGCCGCGCTGGCGTCCCCCCAAGCTCACACGCTTCACGATTCGTGCGGCGGCGAAGGGCACACTCTCGCCGGAGGAGTTGTCCAAGCTGCAGGCCCAACTGAGGAAGATCAAGATGCTTGCCCAGCAGGAGCCGCAGCGTCTGGAGCACTGGCTCGAGTTGCATCGCCTGCTGGGGCTCAATTTGGACAGGGCCAATCGTCTGGCAGTGTCCGAGCATCAGTTGCACAGCCTGGAAATGGCATTGGGTCACCATCCCTGCAACGAGGAGCTGCTGCGTCTGTACACGGAAACGATGAACGCAACTTATCCGCCCAGTGAGGTTAGATCTCTTTCAATCTAAGCTAATTTGTATCTGATCTGTAATCTATGCCATTCTCGTCCATCCCATACCAGGTGGCCGTTCGCCTGGAAACCATGCTGCAGCGGAGCCCCTTTGTGTACACGTTGTGGAGCAGCCTAATCATGGCCACCCAAGGCACCATGGCGCGCTGCAATGTGCCGGATGTGCTGCGCATTTACGAGAACAGCATGCGGCGCATGCATCTTGGACATACAGACACCTCGAGCCGGCTGCTAGACACCGTCGACACGGACAAGATAATGCTAAATCTGTTCCACAACTGCGTACTCTTCCTGCGGCAATCGGCGAATTACAATCATGTCTTCGCGTTGCTCCGCCTGGCCTTGGAGCTGAACTTTCCCGGTCTGGCGGTGGACTGTTTGGAGGCGCGGGCCGACGATGAGCGTCCGCTGATCGAGTTCGAGGAGCTGGTGCTGCAGTCGGGCATGCCGATGCCGGAGATTTGGACGCGTGTGGAGCGACTGCGTCAGGCGTATAACTTTTTGCCATATCCGCAACTGAGTCGTTCGTTGGAGGATGACGTGGAAGGAGGATTGGATCCGCAGCGTTGCATCTCCACCGACGATGTCTGCCACTACATATACCCGCTGAAGACACCCGCGAATCGGCTGCAGTTGCTCCTCTTGGTGGTGCAGCTAACCAAGATGCCCCTCGTGCGCACCGACTGCCTGGCAGAGAAGCTGAACTCGCGCATCGACCAACTCGGGGACTCTGAGGCCATTGAGATGCTTCTCGCCAGCTTGGCGGATCGGATCTCGTATGCCTTGCACCGCACTGACGCCGACGACTTCACCACCGCCATGCTGGACCTGGCCCGGGAGATGTGCGTCACGCCCAGCTTCATGCCGCACTGCATTGGCAGTGATCTGTATGCGGCCACCATAAGTAACCTCCTCCTGAAATGCAGCGAGGCCTTCCACACCGAGGAGAGGAAGCGTCGGCTCTTTGTGCTCCTTTGGCTGCGCTTCCAACGACTTCTGCTGGTGCTCCACAAGCTGACGGGCAAGTTAACCGATGAGTACGTCAAAGAAAGCCGTACTCGCATACGTAACCTGCTGCGCCAGGAGAAGAATCGTGAGGTCACCCGATTCTACACTGAGCTGGCCATGTGCGAATTCGAGATCGTGGAGCGCGACGATGACCCGAGTCGGGCGTTTAGCGTATTTCAATCCATTATTGCCAAGCAGGAGGAGAAAAATGATGATGATTCCCCCTCCTCTCCGGATGTCGTGCATGCCTATTTGATTTTTGCCGAAATGTTGATCTCGCGGAATCGCCACGACCAGGCGCTGCCGCTGCTCCACAGCATCTGCGTGGATCTTGTTAGAAAGAGGACAATTTACACGGATGAGAGTACCATGAAGCAGAAGCTACTAATGAAGATATGTGCCTTGGACAACAAGCCAGCGGAGATGCGCCTGGAGGATTACTTTATGCCGAACAAGCTGGTCACCGTCCTGCGAGCTCGCTGTCTGCTCTTGAGCCTGACGGATCGCCCCGATGAAATTGAAATCCTGCTCGCTGGGCTACTGAGAGACCAGCTGAAACCCTCTATGGCGAAGATCAACGAACACACACGGTTCGTACGTGAGCAAGTCCTGGAACTGCAGCTTGTGCTAAGGCAGCTGCCTGTGCCACAGAAATCTCGGACGGAGCAAGTTCCCCGTTTGTCTGAAGCGCCGACAATCAAGAAAATGAATCTTGTGGAGCTAGTGGAGCTGGGACTCCATGAATACCCGCGCAACCTGGTCTTCCTTCAGCTGTGGACCACCTTCAGTACGATACCGTGGCACAAGCTGCGCGCTCGCTTCATACGCACCCAGGCCGGCATCCTGTCGCTGCTCCATTTGGTCATTGCCGCTCGCTGTCGCTTTGCCCAGACCCTACAGCAGTCCTCCAGCTTCGACCAGCAGGAGAGCGATCCGCACACGCGCAGCCAGGTGGAGTCTGTCGTGCGGAATCGCGTGCTCAACATGTTCGAGACTTTCCTGCCGCGCAACACCAACCGCTCCGAGCTGGAGGCGGACCATTATCAGATCCTGCGACGCAACTCGCTCTACTGGCGCACCTACCTGCGTTGCCTCTCCGACACCAAGACCAGCTTCGAGCGGAGCAAGGACTGTCTGATATCCGCTCTGGACGAGTGTCCCTGGGACAAGGCATTGTATATGGATGGGGCCATCTATGTGCCGCCGGAACTGTCCCATCTGCAGGACGTGATGACCGAGAAGCAGCTGCGCATCTATGCTTTGCCCGAGGAACTGAATATATTGCGGGGATAGAAGGAGAAGGGTGAGTGTTTTCTTTTATTTTTAAATCTCTTTTCTATCCTTTAGAAAACTTACTTCATTTGAGTTTTGAAATACTTTAGAAATGAGTCAAAAAATCAAAGTAATTCCCTGATAATTAAGCCGAGTTTAATATATATATTTGCCAAACATTCGATTATGCTAAACAATAAAATATTTCCAGCACGGGGAATCACTCCGAATGTCGCATATCGAATGTTTGAGATTAGTTTGTCCGACTCAGCCGTCTGCTCCTCCTTCTCCTTGTCCTTTTGTGTTGTGTTTATTATTTTGATTGCCTTATCACGAGATAACCAAAGAAAACCCATAAACCTACAGAAAAAAAGAAAGACAAAGAAAGAGCCTGAGAGCACAGCGTGCCAGGGTACACCTATGGTGGAAATTGTAGTGCCAAATGTGTTTTCTGCCTCTTATCAACTTATTATGCTTGGACCTTTATTACATATTATATAAAAAAATATAAACTTTAGATAACAGCATAATTTTTAGTAAGATTACCACACTCACACTTATCTTTAATTGTTTTATTCAGGAAATTAAGAAAATATTTCTATTTACTTTTAGAGAAAAAAAGAAAAGTCTCTGGTTATTATAATATATTAAAATCAAAGTAATTTAATGGTATATAGGTTTTTTTTTGTTTTTTAAATTCGGATTGCCGAAGTTAGCTTCCTTGTTCTTATGTATTTACATGCTAAACATTTTTATTTTTACTTAATTATGAAATATAAAAAATTTTTAAGATATAGATATAAGAAAAAGGATAATAGGTTTGCTTTTAATTTAATTATAGCACATCAAACTAATATCGTTGGTGCACATATTGAATATTACGTATTCGCCCCGTTTGCCACCTGTTTGGGCCAAAAACGATTTGATTTCTAGGCTCAGGGGATGATGCCCCAGATATTTGTTGTGACCGCAATTGTGGCCAAGTTATCGCTCAACTCGAACATCGCGTATGCGCCCTGTCTGCCCCACAATTGCGCCCGTGCCCGTGCCCCACTGTTGCTTTCTTTGGCAGGGAAATGAGCAAAGTGGAAAAGCTTCTCTTCGAGTGGCCAAAAGCTGTCTGAGTGCGTCGTCCTGGCTGCTGCTTCTGCTGCTGCCGTTTGCTGTCTTGGCTCGGAGCACTGAGCACAGGACCCACTGACACTGACGACTGACTGGGCTTTGGACCGGGCCTCATCCGCAGCGCAGTCGGTCGGCATCTGTCCAAGTTCCACGACGCGTCGTCGCTCCGCTCATCGGCCGTTGCTCCAGTGGCTCTGTGTGGAATTGGTAGTGGAAGCGGTTGGTTGGCCAGTTGGCCAAGTGGCGCCTCCGCTCAAGAGTCGAATTTAAGTTTTCACGCTGCAGTTCCTAACTTTCCTAAGTTCCTAGGTTAGTTTCGAACTCTAAAAGATAAAGTGCTTGTTTTTTTTATTGTTTAAGAGTTAAGTGTGTGTATGTGGTGTGTGTGTGTTTGTGTGTTGTGTTTCGTGTTTCGTTGCGTTGGAGAGAAGAGAAAGAAACCGTTGAGTAGACCGAAGCAGCGACGCAAACAGAGGCAGAGGCAGAGGCAGCATTGTGTAAGACGCCAGCGTCAAGTTCATAGACCAAGTAGCGACAAACTGTCGCGCCTCCGCCTCCAAGAAAAAGCTCCCAGAGATAGAGAGACAGAGAGAGGAGAGAGAGAGAGAGCCAAGTCGCCGTCTCTCATTGCTACAAGTGCACAGCAAGATAAAATTAGCAAATCGAGTAATATATCTTGCAAGTTCGTAAGCAGTAATTCAATATTTAAAATATTCAGTTTAGAAATTGAGTTGAAAAAAATGTGGTCATATAAAAATATGAATAAACATCGTTTTTAAAATGCGAATTCGATTACATAATTTAATTGCAAACTGCAAGGTTATTCATACTTTGGCTTCCCCAAGTTAGTTTCCTTTCTGGTCTTTATTAATTTAATTTTTTAGCTTAGTCTTTGTTAATATCTTAACTTGCTCATTTGTTTATTAATTTAAATAAAGCAAAACTAGCTATAATTTGATTAATTCTAATGTCTATGAAATTCTAAGGTCTTGAAAATGCGCAGAAAAGTAGGCCACACTAAATAGCCATGTTTAAAATGACTTTTAACTGGTGCCATTTTAAGCATAGCAATTTTGTGTGGCCTACTTTTCTGCGCAAATTCAACGGATTCAAAAATTCCCCATCGAAAATACATATCCAAGAATTTAGAATTCAGCAAAAAATACTAAAACGTAAAGCCTTAACTCTTTTTTTAAAAACAACCTACAAATATCGAATAAATATGTGAATATTTTGCATAGTGCAGCTTGGTAGCTGCTGGCTAAATGGTGAGCGTGAACTCGCCGCATTGAGGGTTTCCCGGCCGGAAACCTTAGTCAAGGTCTCGCCAGCTTTCCAACGCAGGTTGTTGCTGTCGCTCTATCTCCGCTCAGCGCTGCTGCTCCGCTCGCAGCGAGCAAGCTTTTCCGCTCGGCCGAGCTTTTGCGCTCGGGAGCGTTGTTCTCCACTCTCCGCAATCCGCTCTCCGGCGGTCGGTCGGTCTGGCTGATTAGTTTAGTTTGTGATTTCAATATATGTAATTAATTTTTGTTTCTGTAGCGGTTCGGACGGACGCGTCGCGACGTTCGCTTGGCCCCGTCCGCTTGGTTCGCTCGCTGCTAGCATTGCCGTCGCAACTTCTCGGCGTTTCGCTTTTTATATATTTATTTATTATAATCATTATTATTGTTATTATACATAGACATTTTTTTTGTTTGTTTTTTGTATTTAATTTGTGTGAGTGAAAGATCAGAGGCGGGAGCAGTAACTGCTGGCCTGCCTTCATCGCCGTCGTTGTCGCCGCTGCTAAAATGCAAAGAACACGCTCGAGAAACGTAAATGGCGCCGCGCTAACCAATGAAATTGGAATATCAAACAGTGCCCCCCAAGCCTCATAAAAAAATACAGAAAAAACACGGAATAAAGGAGCGAAAAGCGAAATAGGAAACAAGCAACAAACAAACTCGAGTTGCTTCAATAATAATACAGCGGTTTTCTTTCATTTTCTTTTTTTTCTCGTGTGTGCTAGTGTTTGTGGTAATCGTGGAATAACAAAACCAACAAAAAGAACAACAACAACAAGAAGCGGCGGAGAAATATTACAAAAGAAGGTAGATTACGTTGACCTTAATGGCTTCAAAAAATATTAGCCACAAAAGTCTAAAATCGAGTATATCGATGCGTTGGTGTATGTTGGAGTTGTGTTGGTGTAACTTTGGAGTAATTTTTAGAGCGTGTTGGTGTAGTCTCTTGGTGAATTGAATATCAGCTGCGCGCGCGCGCATTTCTCTATATGTATCTCTGGATTTGTATTTCTCATTTGATTCCCTCTCGATTAATTCGTGCAGCGTGATCGAAACATGAGAACCTGCCGCCGCCGCCGCCGCTGACGGCTTTTCTGTTGGCTTAGGAAAAGTATTCGATTCACAAAATTCCCACTGCGACCGCTTGACATCCCCCGAAAATCTGCTTAGCCAACATTAACACTATATATTCGCACACACCACACACACACACACCATAAACATCACACACCGACACAATCAATGAGGCAAGACAAAAAAAAATTAACATATTAATGAATTTCCAGTTTCTTTTTTCGGTTTATTTAATTTTTTATTTTGTGTTTTGTATCAGAAAGCGAATGAAACACCAACAAAAACAGCGAAAAATTCAAGCAAGAACGTGAGCGTTGAATCTATCGACTTTGAAATACCTAATAAAAAATAAATAGGGAAATAGATATCATATTAAATTGAAATTTCCTATTATAAATGGATCTTCTGTTAACCAAATGTAAGGGTTTATGGGGTTGACTTGGCGTATCTCTAACGCATTTATTTCATTTCTGAAAGATCAGGTGCAAATGTCATGTCCAGATCCACGTTCACCCTTGAACCCGATGGGGTATATATAGCACAGTCCAGCATCTCGATAAATGATCTTTGGATGGGCATGATAATAATAATAAAAGTAAATATAAATAGCCAGCATTAGACATATTTTTTGGCAACAAACTTTCAATGATTTACCTACCAGTTCCGAGTTCCGAATCAATAAAAAAAAGCGTATTTGGTTTTTTTTTTTTGTTCCTTTTTCTTTCCAATTTTTCGGTTTTATTATGTTTTCGGTAGTGTTATTTTGTTGTTATTTTTTTATATTTTTCGTTTGTGCTGCTCTCAAGGTTTTCTTTGCTGTTGCCGATGATTTTTCGTTGTTTTTTTGTCTTATTATTATTTTCGCTGCTTGTGTGTGTTGGACTTGTTACTTTGATCATTTGTGTGTGCGTGTGTAGTTGTTTTTGTTGTTTTGTTTTGTGTTTGATAATTAATTTCGGCGTCACACAAAAAAAAAACAAGAAACTAGAGACAAAACGAAAAGATTGTTGCCAAAGCCTACGCGATGATGTTGATGTTGGCATTTCAATTGCGTCGTCGCAGAATGTTTCGAATGTTGTGTTAATTGTGTTCACACACTTGTGCACGGCATTATATATTTATTATATACATAGTATAATAATAATTTAATAATCGCTTGCCAGAGTGTGTGAGTTTAATATTCTTTATTTTTTTGTGTAATGAATAGAAATAAGAAAAATGTGTACATACATATATTCTGCTGGCCTTTTTTTGTTTAATGTTTCATATTTTTATTTGGCCCGCTTATATACATATATTATTTGAACCTGTGTGTGTGTGTGTGTGTATATATTTTTTATAATTTGTTGTTCTTGTCGCCTTCTCATGAAATTTTTGCTGACGTCGCGTCTGAGAGCGTTTTGCGCTCAACGCTCCGAGCGAGCGAGCGAGCGGCAGACATAGAAAGAGAGAGCCGAAAGCTCTGTCATGGCGAAGGGTTCCGGTGGGGCCAGGAGGGGGCGGGGAGCCCGAAAGCTGCGGAAAAAAGGAAAGCCGAACTTGTACCGAAAGC